TGGTTGCTCGAACAATTTCAGCCTTAACACCTATTTCTGTGGGGGAAGGCAGGGCATTGATAATGTCCACCGGACTCTTACCGGTACCGCTAATAGTAATAAACGCCGGCTTGAGGGACTGAGTAGGTTTTAAAGGCAATTTTCGTACTATTTCGGCCAATGACTTCGGCTGATTTGGACCGAACCCAGTCAAAGATTCCGCCTCTGTCTTATGCGTTTCATTTTCAGTTTGTAGGCTTTCGGGACCGGTAGACTTTTTAGTCTTTTTCCTATTTCTTTTGCTCTTAACGACTGTAAAAGGAACTGCGGCTGGTAAAGGCTCAGGCGGGGTCACGTTAGTCGCGGATGACTTTTCGTTGCTTTTTCCAGGGATGGCGAGGGGACCATTAGATTTCATAGTGGTTCCTGAGAGAGATTCTATTACCTTCGGCACTGTTTTCTCTATTACGATGCTGGTTATCATCGAATGTACTGAAGGTGAGGTAAGTGTTTCCTGAACCGCTTTATGGACAAGTAAAGATAAGCCCTCACTCTTATCTTTGTACTGCTTTGTCCTTTCCTCCAACGATTCAATAGCGTCAATGAACCACTGTATTTTGCCATTAATGTGGTTTTGGTCTTTATTTTTTATACCTTTGTCAGCTTTAGTAAGGTATATTCGGAGGTTTTCTTGAATTACCTTTGCTTTTTGAAGGAAGTCATTTGAGATTCCTACCTCAGAAGCTTCTGCGTTATCACCAAGAGAAACCTTTCTCGCCCTTTTTGCGGTTGAACGTGAAACCCTTGGAGGGTCCCCTTCTTCCCTTTCATCTCCCTCCATGTTGTCTATAATATTACTCCTGGACAAGTCTTTAAAGAGTAGACACTTAATAACTTAAATAGTATCAGTAATAATATTTCTTATCACTTAAGACAGGTTATACTTACAAATTTATTTTTTTTTACACAGATTCAGTAATGTTAATTTCTGTGTGCTCCCTGGGAAGGTCTTATAGAGATCTTCTACTCAATATAACACTCGGAACTCAAAATTTTTCAAACAAGAACTCCTTCACGAAATTTATACTACTTAACCTCTCCTGTCCAAACTTCAATCTATGTACACTATTTACACTTACAACTATTAACAACAATAAAAAACATGATAAAACACTAGAAAACAATAAGATGGCTATGAACAATTAGAACAAAACGAAAATACAAAACACTGCCTCAAAAGATAGCTCTTTAGTAGACCGCAATTAATCACAGTAACCTCGCTATCACTCTGATATTGCTCTACTCATATCTATTCATCTCTCTTTTCCCAGTCCGCTGGTGTTCTCAAGGTAGTATCCTTGGTCTTATCCTTTACACAGTTTATACAGCTGGCATCCCAACCTATCCCAACACTGTTATTACCACGTATGCCGATGATACATGTGCTCTATCCGTTAATAATGACCAGACCATTGCATCCCAAATTCTTCAATTACACATCACAAGCCTTGAAGAATGGTAACGAAACTGGAGGATTAAAATAACTTCTAATAAATCTCATCAAATCACCTTTACCCTTCGACGTAAACCTATGACCTCATGTCCCACAGTATCCTTTAATGATACCCCACTTATCCATGTTGAACAAATCCGATACCTTGGACTTCACTTGGACAAACATCTAACTTGGCATCCTCATACTAGACCGAAACCGCTCGACGTTTCCGACTACTCCAAAACTTACTAGAGAAACGCTCTAAGCTTCCAATTAATTACAAAAGACTCATATACATGACTACAATAAGACCTATTTGGACTTACGGAATTGAGCTTTGGGGCTCCACTAAACCATCGAATTCCTCTCGTATCCAATCGTTACAATCCAAAATCCTTCGTAAAATCCTCACTGCTCCTTACTTTGTCACAAATAAAATAATCCATAATGACCTTAAAGTTCCTTATGTTTCTGACCTGGCCCAATCAAGCTATCAATCTTTCCATAACAATCTTTAGAACCATTCAAACCGTCTCGATTCCAACCTTGTTTTCTCTTCGATCTCTGACAACCCTCCGAGTCGTCTGAAAAGATGACCTCTAGATCTCCTTTTGTAAATACATTTTTAGAGTGCTACCAGAGGGTAGTTTCTCAACAAGTGATTTCATGTTATTATATTCTTTTGTTCACATTTACTGAATGTATTTTTATTTGTAATACAGTTGTAAATATCATCAATAAAAACTACTTTTTTTAAAACTTCCTTGAAAACGATTATGATACATCTATAAAGAAAACTGCTGTAGGCACAGGCGGATCTACGGAGGTGGCTGTAGTGCCTCCCTCTCCCCTCCAAAAAAATAATAAAATATAACCTTGTTTTATGAAAAAAATATTTCTATAAGTACTATTGTTCGTGCAATTAGGTTTAATAGGACTTCAAAAATCACTTGAACACCATTTCATATAGGTAGTTATTTTCTTTCTTTGACATAAAAAAATAACGAACAAAAGCTTCTTATGTTTACACATAAATGTTGAAATTTGTAGTTTATACTTTTCGATTCAGATAATTAACAAAATTAATGAATAAATAAAAAAATATATTACATTGAGCAATACGTTGTTTTCTATTCTTTCCCTGCCAACCACAAACCACTTAATAAAATTGACATTGTTAGCGATTTCAATAAAATTGTGAAGGAACCAAAGTGTTGAAATCTTGAGTCAAGAACCAATTAGTCTCTTTCATTAATTGCACTAATTACTTCTGTTAATTTCCGATCCATCTTTGTGGGGTTTCACAAGAGGAGTATTTAAGACACTTTTCGGAAGGTGGCAAGCATTCAGTCTTCTGGGCTTCAGCAATCATGTAAGTTGGGTAAATCTAGCACAAGAACCCTCAAGTTACACTATCTTTTTTAACCAATTATTATTAACATTTATTTGCTTTACAGATTCTTAAAAACTAAAGTAGTAACAATAGAATATACTGAAATAAGCTAAGTTATGATTTCAGAATTTAACTTGCATTTGTAGGGAATGGATTCATGAAGTGGTGATTTTAATAACTACGTCTTCTTTTCATAAGAACCTCTCGTTTCTCTAAAAACTTAAAATAAATTTGATGAATATTAATCATAACTAGCCATTGGTTCAGGGTAATAAAGGACGAAAAGTTATTTTAAGTAATATCTCGTTACAGGAAAGATCGGACTGCCGAAATATAATTTATTATAAACAATAGCTTAAATAAAATTTGGCATTAGAACATGCCATTAGGTAGGTAATGTGTACCGAAAAAGGTTTGGATCTGGGTGGTACAACACCTGTGCTTGACCATGCGGATGATCTGGTCCTGTTAAGCGAAGAATCGGAAACTATCAAACTAAATACGATAAAGTTAATGAAAACCGATAAAGAACCTGGGCTCGAAATAAACACGGATAAGACAAAATATATGGTTAGCAGCGAAAATGGCGATATTGCCGGTGATATCATATAGAAGGAAATATAGTTGAACACGTAGAGAAGTTAGGTATCTAGAGTCTACGATAACAAAAAAAAAAAAAATTGAAGAGGAGATTAAGGTATAAAGTATTGCGTAGGATATTCGGACCGAAGAAGGATGAGTTAACCGAAGAGTTCAGGCGGTTACAACAACGCTGAATTGTGTGAACTGTATCCGGTTAATATAATTGAGGTACTTCCCATATAATATATAACTTCCCATTTGATTACATTGCGGCGAATCAAATGAGCTTGTAAAATTGTTGGGTTTAGTAACAAAAGAATCCCTAAAAGGTTAATATTTGGTGTACCGAATGGTAAACGCACAACGGGTAGACCGAAGCGAAGGTGGGAAGATAGTGTTATAGCCGATCTGAAGGGACTGGCTTTGGACGGCGAACGGTGGAGAGAAGCGTGTAATAAGCGATTGGTGGTGTCTGCATAGGTGTTCGCTAAGTATTTTATTATTATTGTAGCTTAAATAAAACGAAGGGCGGGATGGCTGAGCGAGTTAACGCGTTTGCAATAAAGTGCACTGCCTGACAACACGATAACCAGATTAAGGGATTACGAGTTTCGAGTACCATTCCCGTAGGTATTTAACTCTCTGATATTAATACCCTCCCTTGTCTTCTAGCCCGGGAAAAATCCTTAAATCCGAGAGGCAGGGGAGAAAAGAAAAAAAATCTTTAATAAAACGGCATTAAGAAATCGTTTATTTTAGTATGTAAATGAACTGCAAATATTTAGTTAACTCTATGGTATGTTTAGTGATTTTTTTGCTAAATAACGGCATCACATAATATGTTTATTTTTAACGTGCTAACGACAAAAAATATGTTTAATATTCATTTTAAAGACGTAGGATATAAAAATGAGGAAGAAGATAGTGAAATATTGAAAGCTACTTACTAAAAAAGTTATAAAATCTCTCAAATGATCCTCAAAGCTAACCGCCCAATTTTTTCGGCTATATCATAAATTTTGAGCGACTTGAAAACTGTATTCTGTGTTTCTCATATTTCATCATTCGTTACTTTCGATGGTACTGGTATTTGTAAGGGGAACTAGACCGACAAAAGAACTAAAATTAAGATCATTTTCCAATTAATTTTTTTTCTTTCTATTAACCATAAAGATAATTGTTGACACATATACATCGGCTAAGAGCCGTTAGTTACAATCTGGTGGCTACATATTGATTCGTTTATTAAAATGTAATCTAGCTCTGTGAAAAACAAAAAAAAAAACAAAAACGAAATGCAAAATATTGCTCTAGCTTTATGTTGTGGTGTGATGAATATTTTTAATAACTTCCAGTTATCTACCGAATATTCGGCGAAACATGCAAGTTGTCGAAACTAATATGATTTTTTTACTAATGATTATAATTGATTTCGTTTCCTGATTATTCTGTGCTAAAATCGCCAAAGTTTTTAAAATTCGTTTAACTAGAAATTTATCAACAAGCAACTAGAGCTATCCGTCAGTATTATTTTATATTGTGTTTTCGATTAGGTTTGGATTTCTCACCATTGGACTGTTATTCTGTGGACTTGCAGCTGCGAGGAATAACTTCCCAGATTTCTTAATGGAAAAAGAGAAATCTTTCAACGAGGTAGGAAAATAAATTAAATACATAAATTATCAACTTCTATTGAAAAGAATACGATTCAAATATTTTTCTGTTGCAGATCGACACACCGGTCGGTCACTTGATCTCAGCTCCTCTAGACATGGGAGAGATGCCTTGCCAAATGGATGTCAAAATCGTAAGTAAATACTTACATTTGTTAAATTGTCAGTGTTAAGTGTTGAAGTATGTTAATATACAATAATAATAATTCCAGACCCATTAGAATATTTATATCTCTGGCAGAATACTTATATAATAGTGAACTATACGGGACACAAGGATGCATAGGAGGTGGTTTCATGGCGTAAGTTACGCCATCAAAATTTTTGAGGGAGAGGGGACATTTTGACGGGGTTTAGAATTTTTTATGGGTACACATTTCGAGGGTGTTATGAATTTTCTAAATGAAAAGTTTCAAACCGGGTCACAAGAGGAAACTATAGAGTAGACTAATATGCAGAATAGTGTAATATGCATGAATTTAGCTTGCAATGTTATGAGAAAGAGGATAGCAATAAAATAGTTTGGAAGAAGAGGGGGGGAGGGCGATTCAGGCGTCATAGACCATGGGGGGATGGGCACCCATGACTGGTTATATCCCGTTTGCACGAGTGTGGGTGGCTATTATAATAACGACGCTTATTCTTTAAAACAATTTTATTTTATATATATTTATTTAATAACACCTTTAGTATTACAACGCTTACAACGCTCCATGCAAATTTTCTACTGTCTGAAAATGCTGTCAACTGTTTCGGTATGCGTGTCGCTATCTCTTTTTCAGCTTCAAAGAACTCAAATCTTGTTATTTTTCCTGCAGATTGACGAATAGTGGTTTTTTACTTATGATACTGAAACAAAACGCCATTCTATGGAAGAGCCTCTGTGCCTTATTGTATATAACATAAATCAAAGAATATCTACTACCGACTCTTCAGTGGATATATGTAACTCAATATAGCTGCTATAGTTTTACATCATTTTTTATAATTACTAATTAATCTATATTGTTATTAATCATATCATAAAATAGCACATTAGATGTCTGAATACATTGAATGGCCAAAAATTAATGTATCTTGATCTCTGTTGGTCATATTGTAGAGCAGAACATCCGATTCAGTGAATTGGAATTGCTTCATACCACTTTATATATTTATTGAAAATCTTTCTTTAACCGTCCTTGAGCTGAGCTGTTAATTTCAAACTAACACAGAAATCTGGAAAATAAAAATATATTATCTTGTTCCCAAGAATTATTTTATACCTATTATTCCCATCTAGGAAGAAAACTTGTTTTAAGTACATTTATGTTTATAATTTTTCACGTCTTATCTTTTTTGTGGAGGGAAGTTTGGTGTGAAAGTAGAAGACAAGAAAAGGGATAGAAGCATAGAAGTTCTAATGGTACTAAACTTTCTTGTCAGTGAATATCCAAGTCCGTTCCCTGAGGCAATATAATGGAATTTATATACTGAATGAAATCAAGTGAAATTAAGTTGGGATTCATTCTAATTAGGGAAACTAAATTTTTACAAATTAACTACACAAATTGTACTCTGAACCTGTTAACCAAACTAGGAGACAATAAAACTACGAGTTCGCGTCCTGGTGCCTGAGGGTCTTTTAAATACCCTGCCCTCACTCCCTGGACCGGGAAAACCCTCGTATAGTCTAAAAAGATGAGGTAAGGAAGAACAAAAAAACTCACCAAAAGCAATTTTTTAAATATATTCTTACTTGCTTAGATTTCAAGTGTCAATTTATAAACCAAAATATGAATTTAAATGACATGAAAAGTATAATTTTAGCCACTTCATTGCCATAGCTTTCAATGGTGTGCGAAATGCACCGGTAAATTTCTTCATGATTCTTCAATTTATTTAATTTAATTTTTTTTTATTCCAGATTGAGCGCGTAATTGGAAAATGTGAGAGAAGAGGTGGTTCGGAAGCTTGCATCGCAGGTTCTTACGTTATTCCCAACCATCACGACTGTATCATGAATCGATAGATCAACACCGGATATTTTACCAAATAATATTATTTATATAGTCAATAAATTGTAATTATATTCAAACCAATTAATTAATTACTTTTTCCCTATATTACTTTTCCTATGAATATTAATGATGAAACTATTCCTATTGAGTAATATTACAAATTATCTTAATTTAGGACAACGATTGCAGTGAAACCATTTACACCGTATCAACAGATAATATTGATAAATTCTATCTAAATAATAAAAAGATTTTTCAAAAACACAATTCTGAATAAAGTAAAATAAAAAAGGCATTCTTATACACTCTGTTAAAAGGGCCAGATGTAATCCAAACCAGGATTTACTTCTCACTAGTAAATGGGAAAGTATGACTCCTGAAGATCCCAACGATTCTGTCTTAATCCCTATAATGGGCATTAAAAGCCTGTGTTGGCGCTATTGATAGACGCGCATGACTTGATTGGAGAATCTCAGCATTGACGGAACTCCAATATACATAGATCTCGGGGTAACTGCCGTTTAATCTTTGAGGATGATTGTATGAATGAGTGGAAAGGAACGTGAAGGAGCTGGATGATGGATTAAGTTCCAGCGAAATTAGGAAAATTAGCAGGGGATAAAGTCCTCAACAAATGGGATTTTTCAGGCCATGCCATTTTTCAGATAATTGAACATACCGACACTTGTCTTCACGAAAAAAAATCAAACTTATCTAAGAAAGTTTATATAACTAATAAACAATATGTGTACATTATAACAACTTTGCTTAAGAAAATAAAATTTGAAAAATATACACTGACAGGCAAAAAATTCCACCCACTTGATTTTTTCATCTAAAAATATTTCTACTTTTGATTGGTCTATTGATTTTAATGAATAAATTGGTAATCTTTTAGTTTGTTTTCAATTAAGAATATTAATATAGAGGACAATAACCCTTAATCCTTAATTTGATGAAATGATTCTAGATTCCAATGTTTACTTTCTATGGAATCAAAATGTTTATTCAGTATCATTAGTTCAGTGCCGTTTCCTGCAGCACATTTCTCAGTCTCCGGCTTTTAATTTTTTCAATATTAAGTTTAAAAATGCCTCTTAGTACTGAGGATGTTGCGCGTGGTGTGGCACTTATTGATGATGGACGTTCTATTAGATATGCAGCTAATGCCATCGGAGTTCCATATGAAACTTTACGTTCGTCAGGCGTTTTCGGGAAATTGGTTCTTACAAATAGAAGGCCCGGTTCTGGACGGCCTAGGGTAACAAAACCACGGGATGACCGATTTTTGACTTTGAGAATTTTACGAAACCAGCACCTTTCCGTTGTTCCAAGAGGAGGAAACACGCGCTACTAAACGATGATGTAATTAATTTCTTTTAGAATAATAATGATTCGTTTTTCAATTTTTTTTTTTTCTCTAATTTTTCTTACCCAATCACATTTTGATTATTAAAGGCATTTAGCTTAATACAGAAGAAAAGATGATTGCCTAGAAAAGGGACATTTCCCAAGAATGTGGAAGATTGTCGACCTGAGAACGACCTACAAGGAATGGGGCAGGGATAAGCAGCTCCCTAAGTCATGCAGACCTATATGCCTCATTCTTATTATGAGTAAAGTCCTGGAGCACCTTATGTTGGTCAGTCTAAGACTGGACCTAACGAGAACCAGCCATCCACGGCAATACGGTTCAGTGTAGGAGAACCGCTAGTACACTGCTGAGAGTATACGCAGATTTTGAACAAAGGGAGGAGCGATATGTCATGGTGCTGCTCTTTGATATTTCCTCTGCCTTTGACGGCGTCTGGTGGCCGTTTGTGCTCCAGAAGCTGTAGAGATACGATACTCCCTGCAACTTGTATTGCCTTGTAAAGAGCTACCTACAGAACAGGAGGGTGAAGGTTCGAGGAATTTCCTATGAGTTAGAAGCCTCCGTAGAGAGGGGCTGTCCACAAGTATCAGTCCTTGGTACAGTTTCATGGAAACTGGTTTTTGACGATTTGCTGAGTGTCTTGGAAGAAGAGCAGTTCCCAGCTACTAATTACGTAGACGATGCAGAGGCGGTTTGAAGGTCGAGACCTTCTGAAGTTCGAGGCAGAATGGTGCGCCAACATTGTGGCGAGATGATTGGGAGGAAAAAGCTGAAGATTTCCGCTGTTAAAACCCAGGCCATACTCCTGAGAGAGAAAACTGATAGAGCTCACGCTATCACTCTACTGATCCAAGGAGAGAGAATTCGTCTTCGTAAGTGAGGTGATAACTTACCTTATAGTGAGATTTGGAAGAAATTTCAACATAATGCCTCACTTGGACTGTTTGGATGGTAGAGTCAACCTCTTACTGAATGGGCTAAGTAGAGTCGGGGTTCTCTGGGGCCTCAGATACCCAGCGAGAATGACAATCTGCAATGACAATGACAAGTTCTCACGGGACATGGAGGCTTTCAGGCCAAACTGCATAGCTTTAGCAATGTCCCAGGTACCGCGTTCCAGAAACTGCCTAACGCGTATTAACGACCTGCACGGTCTTTCAAGGACTTCGGGACACTTTTATGAGGAAAACGGGATTGTACGTCATGACAACGATGATTTCCTCTCCCTCATGAAACAAGAGAACTACTCGTATTTTGAAGAATTTGTTTACGGATTGAATACAACTGTGGGACCGGAACACTTTAACCTTTGTGCCCCCTCCCCCCCCCCCGGCGAAGAGAAGAAGCAATCCATAATGAAGATGTGAACTTCAGTTGAAGCACTACCGTCTAAGTGGGTAAGGTAGTTTGATAAAATATTTATTACGCTACCCTCACCAAATTGACGTAAGGTAATAAATAAATAAGTATCTTGATTATCAGGTTACCGGGCAACACGCTTTGCGGTGCACACGGATTAGACCACTCGGCCATCCCACCCCTTATTCAATAATTTCTATCAATATTCAGGTATGTCATTTTGGCTGTGAGCCATTATATGTGTGGGGTCCCTCAATCTCTGAAAAAGTGTTAAAACCCTTTTTTTTAATCCTCATTTCATTAACTTGAAGTAAATAACATTCTTTTGACCATCGTATTAACAATGTTTGACTTTTCGGTCTTTGAGATCAAAGTTGCCAACTCCAAGGAATTTAATCAAGAGAAGATGAAGAATCCATTATTAAAAGTTTTTTATTCTTCAATATCAAATGAAAATGTGAAGAAATTAAAATTTAATAACGTTTCACGTCACTCAAATAACGGATTAATCTGAGAGAATAAAATTAAAGAACACTGTAGAACCAATTATGAGGCAATCAAATCTGTTTTATTAATTTTATTTTGAATCCTAACAGAAGAGATTCAATTTTGGTTACATTGGATTAGAGGTAAATGAATTTAACGTTATGCAAGAAAATAACATGAAAGTAATTATATAACTGAATTAAATATTACTTAAGTTTATTTGACTTGATTTTTTGATATATTATTTATTTTGATCATGCTTGAAACAACTAACAGACAACTTAAAAAATTAAGGTGTGTGCTTAAGAACACACGGTAGAAATGAAAACAGCAACAAGGCAGATTAATAATATGAAATATAAATTATAAATAATATCTCATTATATAGAGGGTCAAATGCTGAACATTTCTCTCGCTTACAGTATGAAGGTTCGATTTTTAGCTTCTGAGATATTTTATTCCATATCTTCCCTTATAAAACCTTTTAATTTAGCTATGCGGTTTTATTGTATCCCTATATTATAAATACTAATATTATTGTTAAATAATGTTAGTTTTCCAAAATTATTATTTATATTTTTGCTTCCTCACTACCGAAGGCATTGTAATCGTGCGGGAGGTTTAAAAATAAATTGATCTCAGTATCGAAAATTTTCACTCGCGTCTTACGTTTCAGACATCAAGGATCAAATTTGGTTCGGTGTCTGTCTGTAGTGATATCGATGTAACGTGCATACCAGCTAGTACCTTTCATCCGATTTTCAGGAATTGTGCGGGTTGGTGCTTAGATGGCCCCATATCAACCTTATCAAATTTCAACCAAAACTTCCGTTTAGGCTAGCGCAAACGCATTTTTGTATATATGCCAATATTTCAGAAACGGCTGGTTCGATTTGGCTCCAAGTTAAGTAAAAGGTAGGTATTTGTGAAAAAATAATGTAAAGTCAATTTGATTGAATTCTGTTTATTGCTTTACTTATATATGCTCAAACGTGTCTGCCTTGATACGTCTATATATCTATAACCACAAGTTCGATTTGGCTCAAATATGGAGGGAAGTTAGGGGTTGGTAAACAGATAATCAAGTAGGTATGAATATTATTAAATTCTATTCACTACTCCTAAAAACAATACTTCTGCTTTCGGATCAGTAAACGTATTATTTGAAAAGCCTATAGTTTGAAAACTGCCAGTTCAATTTGACCCAAACTTAGAGGAATTTTGGAGAATAGTATAGAAATTACCTAGTATTATCTTATTAAATTCTATTAAATAATTAAAATTAATATAAATAATTGTTAACAATATAATGGCAGTGAAATGTGAAAGGCACTGATCATATGGAGTAGAAGTTATGTTAAGACGATAGTTTCTGGGGTTATAAAATTTTAGGTTTTATTCCGTTAATTATACTGGAGTAAAGTAAATTTATACTGTATTGTTTCATGGATTCCAAACGTTACTGGCATGATACTTACAGCCGTTACTTAAATTTCGAGTAATTTTCAATAAATTTAAATTAGTTTTTACTCTGTTTGTAAAAAAGAATAACCTTATTTGTGAATGTGTTTATTTCTATTGAAGTTCAACTAGCTCGTCGAGGTATCGAGTTTCTGTTTGATTTTTACATATATCTTTAAATTCCAGCTTAAATAGTTTTGTTCTGACTGAAGAAAATGGTCTCGTTAACTCTGGAAAAAAAAATTTAGTCATGTTTTAGTTTATATTTTGTACCATCCATTTTTGGAGTGAAAACATGCAGATTATTCACATAATACTACTGTTGGTGCAAAAGGTCGTATGTAAACATTTTCAACTTTTTTTTTTAAATTAAGATTCATCAAATATGGAATCTTCAAATACGCCACTCTTTCGCATTTTAATATTAGCTGATAAACGAAATTCTTAGATATCAAACCCGAGAATGTTGAAGGGTAACTGTATCTGCGAATCGGCTTCTTTTAGGGATTTTTCTTTCATACAAAAAGTCGTATACTTTGTAATGTAGATATATTTTAAGTAATGAAAACGCTGAGGAAGCTATACTGAAATTACTTGACAGAGGTTTTTTCGTCACTCTCCGTTACCTTCTACCTTCTACAAAATAATATGTTATTTATTTGATATTATTTTTTCTGAAATTCTTCGCTTTCCAGCTATTTATTATACCTGTACCTTCTGACTATTATTTCCGGAGATTCGTTTTCAACCTGGATAAGCATTTTTCTTTTTTCTACAGTTTCCAATTATTATATTCTTTCAAATTTCATATTTAGCCATTTTTTATAGTTACTGTTAATAAAAGAGAATCAATTTTTTAAAATAAACTATATTAAAGGTACTTTAGAGGAAGACGTATATAAACATTGGACATTTAAGCCCCATAAAGTGAAATCAATGGGGTTAAGACCTAAAAAATATTAAAGACCACTGAATTATGCAATGATACACCGAGTTTAATCAAAATCGTTAGAGTCGTTTTTGAGAAAATTGTAAAAATTTTTTTCACCCTTGATATTAAGTGGCACTTCCGGTTTGCCGAATTTAATAGCATACTTAAAAACCTATGCATACGAAATATAAAACTAAGGTTGGACCCGCATGACCCGAAGGAGGCCCAAGCCCTGCAACGAGATGTCATTTGAAAAATTTTGTTTCAAAATCTGAAAGTATTGTAGGTAGATTCTGGAAAAAAATTATCACAAGCGACGAAAATCAGATACTTTTAAAAACCTTGCAAAAATAATCAGCGGTTACAGGCAGACGAAACTGCACAACCGGTTCGCCAAAATTGGTTTGTGAAAAAATGTAATGCTTTGGTGGGACTTCGAAAGCGTTTTGTATTTTGAGCTTATTCTTGGTGGTCGGGACATATTTAGATATACAGAGTTTATGCAGTTTGGAATGCCAAGTACCCCGCTTTGGTCAACAGGAACCAAGCTATTTTGCACAAAGACAATACTCATCGACAATACATATCGATCTCGTTTGACTAAGGAAAAATTATCGGATCTGCAAGCAGTAAATGTTTTGCATCATTCTGTTTATAGCCCAGATATTGCACCATCAATTAATTAAGAATTAAATATTTCTTCATTATAACATTTTGAAGAGGGCTGGGGAGAGAAGAAGGTTTGGTGGGAAAGAGGTGCACTGTTCACAACCAGACAACAGAAATTGAAACACAAAACTAATTTAACAAACTTGAAAGCGCAGACGAAATGTGAATTAAAGGTTCATATTTCTTATTTTAATATTACGTACTTTAAACATTATTGAATACTACTCTTCAAAGTAAAGTCCATTGTTCTCAACTACTTTCGCCGACTTTTCTTCCAATAATTTGATTTTATGTCGGTATTGGATTTGAACTCCTTTGGTTTTGAGGCAAAGTACTCTTGATAATTGCAAAGACGTAAAAATTTGAAATTAAGAGTACTTTTTCTCTAAACCATACAATTTGTACGGACATCAAATCCAATTATTGGCAGAAAAGTCGGCGAAAGTATTTGAAAACAATGGACTTTACTTTGAAGAATGGTATTAAATAATGTTTAAAGTACATAATATGAAAGAAAGCTATTATGTACAAGACTTTTGTATTTTCCTTGTATTTTTTCTACGTGATGCGACGTTAGAAGGTATATTGTTCTTCGCGGATCGTCAATGCTTGTAGATTATCTCGAGGCGAATCCTCCTCCTGCTCTGCTAGTGGTAACAATTCTTGTCTGCTTGACAAGGTCATTTGACTATTAAACAGATCAAGGAAAAATTATCGGATGTACAAGTATTAAACGTTTTGCCTGATTCTGCGTATAAACCATATATTGCACAATGAGATTATGGTTTGTTTAGGTAAATGAACATACAAATTGAAGGAAGGTATAGAGGAGGATTCAGAAACATAAATGATACAGAACTTCTTACAGAAAGATGTAGCTGGAATAATGCAAGATTTGCTGAAGGGGACCATCATGTAACAATAACTGGCAAATACGTAAAGTAGTAGGTTGTGATGTTTTCTTAGTGGAGTAAATTAAAAAAACATATTTTCAGATTAAGGAAGTAGGGAGGTATTTTGGTTCCAAAGACTTTGAAAATAATGACACATAGATAGTACAGCTGTATGAAAGTGAGATTTAAGATACTTCACCCCACCATATTATCAAGAGAAAGATTTTACCTCGGAATGCATAAATGTAACAAAATAATTTAAATGTTTGTAAATCTAAAAAAATGATTACGCCACCAAATGCCTCATTAAGACTGCAAACCTACTGCCCAATGCTTAATGATCCTCTATTTCTCCAGTGCTTAATAAAATAAGAATTTATAAAGGGAATAAATAAAAATAAAAATCTTTCAGTTGTTAACTTATATTTCCTCTAATGATTACATCAGTATTTTACTATTACTGTTAAGTTTAATTATCATGTGGAAATCTCTCAATCCAATCTCCTCAATTCAACCTCAGTTTCCTTCACTGTGAGAATACAAAAAATTTGTCAAAGCCAACATTGATACTGCTGACAAGTGTTCATCACAATTTTTCCTGAAAAAAAAACTTAATTACAATAAAGAAGTTTTGTGAAACTAAAATTAAATACACTATTGTGGGTTAATTGATGATTGTCGTGAATAATGAAGAGAAGGGTGGTTGGGGTGGTCAGTCTTTTAACATTTACCGACGCTTCGACCTGAAGTTTAGGCCTTCATCAGACTCTATTCCAGCTAGCTATTGGAAGAGCTCTGATGAAGGCCTGAACTTCAGGTAGAAACTTCGGCAAATAATTATTATTATTTATTTTTGCCTTCTTATTTCTGACTGATCACCCGACCATCCTTCTCTTCATTAAATACACTATTATTCCAGAAAAATCTTTTTTCCACAAAACAGAATTGATGTGTTCTTAAATTGAAATGTATTTGAACATATTGAAAAATATTTGTTCTTAATTAATCTTATCGTCAGCTTATTAAAACAATTCACAAACTCAAAATGAGCAATTTTCGGATTTCTTGCTTTTTGTGGCCTCATACATGAGATATTTAAATTGTTGAAACTCACTAAGTCATAGATATAATGTTTCCTGTTTTATTTTTAAAGTTTTTTGTTAGAACAGACAGATCATGCAAAAATAAATTAATAATTACCCGTATATATATATATATATATGCTATACTTCAACATACATTCTATCTCATTCAAAACTAATCTTGCTCAAAATAGTTTGGTTTAATTTATATATATATATATATATATATATATATATATATATATATATATAAATTAAACCAAACTATTTTGAGCAAGATTAGTTTTGAATGAGATATAATGTATGTTGAAGTATAGATTGAGCCCTTGGGGTTCCCTGATTCTTAAGTGTATGATACATTTGTATCTGTTTGTGTGTATATATGTACAGACAGTAAACAATTAGAATCTGTCATAATGGTTGAAAATACAATGGTCATTACAAAAGAAATTCAAAAACGTTTTGCAAAAAAGGTTTTTTTTTCAAATATTCATTATTATGCTATACTAATATTTAAAAATCAAGTAAAATTTACTTACAGTGGGCCTCCTGGTGAAAAGCAACCAGATGAATGTTGTAGACTCAATATGAAATCCAGTACTCTGTTTGTTAAGAATTCTGGGTAGTTACTCAATCCACAAACAGCAACTGTAATATTCGTTTTAGCTAATTAATTAACATGTTCATGTAAATTTATGTTTGTTTCATTTACATCATCCTGGATTCCTAATAGGCTAAAAAAAAAGTTTTATACATATAATTATTATTATTTTTCCTCATACCATCTTCAACGAATAGGTCCCGAAGTTTCAGTGGCATTCCATTTTTTAATATTGTATTAACTTCAGTTAGAACTCTTCCACATCTTTTATCTAATAAATCTCTTGTGAAAGGTAATGGTGACATCTAAAAGCAAATGTATTTTAAGTATATTTATTAATGGACCTGCTTTAAAAAACTAATAACAATTAACAGTAATTTTACATCATACAGTGTGTATTTTAATATCATTAAATGAATATAAAATTCTTATAAGAATTATAGCCAAGAAAATCTGATTACAGAAGTTTATTATGAGCTTATATAATTCAAAGTGACGATTTTAAACGATTTTAAGAGAACTAAATATATTTATTTTTAATTTAATTGCATTTATAATTAAAACAATAATGCATTGCCGAGCTGAAAAACATCTTTAAAAAAACGAATTCTTGTCATGTGTGCTCACTTGAGAGCTTAACCCCAATGATTACCTTCCCGATTGGCCCAAATGATTAATTTCAAAAATTGGCTCCAAATATATTTTATATTTTCACCATCGTTATAGGTGAGTCCCGATAAACCATGTGTGTGTGTTGAATAGATGATCCTGAAAAAATTATATTGTATGTGTGAATAAACATGTTTCTAACATGTAGGATAATTCTCTAATCTTAGCATTTGCGCTGCGGTAGAATAGTTATATTAATTTTCACTTACTTATATATGTAATGTATAGTAAGGGTAAGTATTGCGATCGTGAAAATTTTCGAATCTCAGTTTTCAACGGAAATATATGTTTTGAGGTACCCTGAGTCCAAATAACCAAGTGTCGCAAAATGGCCTGTGTGTGTGTGTTAACAGTCTAGCTCATAAATGAAAAGTAGTATGAAATTGATATTAAGTATTTAAGGTTTGTATATGGGCCGGATGTGACAGCAACTTTTTTGTTCCAATCGGCTAACCGAAAGTGCCACTTTATTTGAACGCTGAAACACATTTTTACAATTTTCTCAAAAACGGCTCCCTATGGTTTTTTAAAATTTTATGGCATTTCCTAAAAAAAAAAAAAAATTCGTTAAAATCGGACATTTCAGGTTTTTTTTCCTGAAGAGGCGAAAATTTGGATAAATTTAAAATATACTTTTTTTATTGTTGAGACTAAAAAAAACTTTTTTTCTACAAATATTTAATAAAGTATCTTTCCTAATAATAACTTTCATAAGAAATAAGTACCTAAATTTATACCTTTATCTCAGTTCTATATTTCAACACTGCAATCACCACCTCTGGAATCGACTTACTCATTCACTCTGCATAGATTACTTTTTCAACTAAAAATATCACTAAAATGACATTACTCATAAATGTTGAAATTGGAGTTAGTCATTCTGTGGTTTATAAAAGCAAAGAAACTTGTGTGGTTTATAAAAGCAGATGGAGTGACTAGATTTATATTGCCTATCGTCGACATATTAAATAGACATTTTGTAATTATAATGGTCTTAATGACTTGTTATCTTTAAGCTTTATAACCTTTAGCTCCGTTTAAAATGCACTTCAAAAAATTTTATAGTAGCCCAGCATTGCCAGAAAATAATTTCTATTCAAAGTAGAGCGGTAAGTGAAAGTTGTGTGTTGTGCCCACCAGATTTTTAAACATGCAAAATAAAATAAAAAGCCGTGGTGGCCGAGCGTTGCCCATTTAGCATTCTCCATTTTAGCGGCGCCGTACACTGGTGCGAGCGTAAGGTTCTTTGGACATTGCTCTAACTTACTATAAAATTTCAGTAAACTGTTCAAATTTGGTCTGTTTATGTTTTTTAGGGTATTGAATTTTAATTCAAGCAATTCGGTGTACAAATTTTATTTAAAGGAAAATAATAAAATATTAATATTTATCTTATAACCTATCTCATAAAGACATAATATAATAAAATATAAACATATAAAGTTACAAGTAATAATAAAAAAATTTTATTTAAAGCTTAGCTATTAAACTCGCGATATATTTATAATTTAGCCAATATAGACAATTAGATGTTATTTAATAAAAAAATGGGTTAATAATAACACGCATACGCCTGTAAAAAATTACAAACCAGCTCCAACAATACCATATAAAAAATATTGTTTTCATTTCTTCTCCTATTATTTCACACCAGGGTATTATTAATGCAATTTTTAAGTTAAAAATTTCTGAACATGAAGGGGAAACATATTAGTTTGTCACTAAAGCAGTAAAACTTCCAAATTGTTACTGTTGTGTTTTGTCCTTATGTCCAACCTATGTGTTACCCAAAAGCGAGACCGAGATGAGTCTTGGTCTTGCACACTCAGTCTTGGTCATGGTCATGGTCTTGCGCAAGATTCTCCCAACAGTCTTATAGTTACTTATTAGCTTATTACTATAGTTATATAACTGTAATTTTTTAGATAGGAGAAACCTAACTAAGCCCGAATGAAAAATTAGAGTAGTTAAATTCAAAAGTATATTGGTTATAACAATTATTCGCATATAGTAAATAATATTGTCAAGTATTAGTACCTGTTTTGCATTAATTTTTGTTCAAAAAATCGATTTTTTTTTTACCAGGTCTGGTCTTGGTCTTGCAACAGTTAGGCGGTCTTGCCACACTACTCACACAAGCTAACGCTACGGTTGGACATTTGGTTCGTAAGAATAAACAAAAGTTACAATTTGGAAGTTTTACTGCATTAGTGACAAACTGATATCGATTACGCTTCATATCCAGTAATTTTTCGTAACAACTATGCATATATTTAAAAACCGATGATCCAGCTGTCTTAGGATTCACAAGAAGTACCTAATTCTGCCCAGCACATACCGTTAGGTTTGAACAAAAAAAAAAAAAAAACGGCAAACCATCTCAAAATATAAAAAAGATTTTTTCATTTCTTCACATATTATCTCACATCAGGGCATTAACGTGATAATTAAGATAAAAATTATTGAACATGAAGGTGAAACGATGTTAGTTTGCCACTGATGCAGTAAAACTTCCAAATTGTAACTTGTTTTTTTCTCCCAATGTCCAATCGTAGCGTTAGCTCGCTCCAGTGTGCACCAGTCCGAATTCGACCTGAGCGGGTTGTAATTTATTTCGTGGCGAATCCACGGCGAAACACGGATCCAAACTGCTCTGCTAAGAATAAGTTTGGTGGTAGTTGTAGTATAACCCTCTCACCGTTTGCCAGAAAGGGCGAGGCAGGTGAAATCGAGAAAAAAAAAGCTTATATCATTAATTAATCATGTATCATTGATCTACTCACCGCTGCTGCTAAGGAGAAATACAGGACTTGGTGGCTCAAGGTATAGCCCCTGGCACTTTCATCAGTCATTTGGCTCAGGCAAAAGTCCGTTATTCTGTCTCCCAACAAAGCCTCCGTGATACAAACTGTTGAATTGAACATGGACGGAGTACCGTAGAGGAAGTTATATTGAAGATCATATGGAAGATAGTCTTCTGGTTTCAATGGTAAAAGTACATCTTTCTTCAATTTTTTCATTGATGTTGCTACTCTTTCCTCTTAAAAAAAAAAAATTAATTACCAAACTCTGGGGGGAAATTCTAGATACAATTTCCAACAAAAACGTTCAATTGAAACATGAGCTGATTCCGAACAGAAAATTAAGTCCATTTCTTTTTTTTTTTTTTTTAAAGGTAGGGACGGATTTTATTAAATAAGAAGAAATAAAACTGTTCAAGTTAATTAAATTATGACTACACCACCGTGAAGCAGACAAAAATTTCTTCTAGAAAACAGAGATTAAATTTGATGAGGTCAATGATAAAAGGAACTTTCAGGAGATCACATACGCCCGACGTTCTGCTGCAGTTCCAGTATTCATACCCGAGCATCTCTGCAATCCCGATTCCTGAAATAATTCAGCACATATTCGTAGGCTTTGCGTTATTATACCTCTTGAAAGTCCCTTTTATTATTGACCTCAATAAATTTTATTGAGTTTTATTCACTGTTTTCTCAAAAAACATTGTGTCTACTTTACGATAGGTATTATAATAATCGCAAGTATTGATTTAGATCATTATTTGATCATTATGCACTTTCAGATCGGATAAATTTGCCAGTGAAGAATAGAACTGGACATAAATGCAGAAGATTCAACTTCAAAAAGCTGAAAGATCTTTAAATCCAGAAATCTCACCAGGAAGAGTTGGATGAATGTTTTCATATTACCAATATCCCTGATACGGAGTTAAATGCGGATAGCAGCTGGACAGCCAGTTCTAAAGTAGTAAAAGATATTGCAAAAAAAGAGTTAGAATCACCAGAAAGAGCTTGACAATGTATGCCAGATAATGACAGAAACCAAAAACCACGCCTGTAGATCCATGGTTCAGAGAAAAACAAGAAGCACAGTTGCGGAATACGATGAAGAGGAGAATATCTGCTTCACAAGAAAGGAGAGCGATATGAATGAGAATGCTGAGAGGAGAAAAACGATTCTGAGAATTCTACCAGAATGTAAATGCCAGTAGAAAACCGTTCAGGCAGAGACAGGAAGTGAAGCGCCTAAAATAAATCAAATCAGACCGAATGAAGGCCTCGAAGCTTCAGATGAAGAAAAGATAAAGGGAGCCAAATTAAAATATGAGAAAGCGGTAGGCATAGATGGTTTCCTAGCTGAGCTATTTAAATATAAATGCAAAAAATTCATTAAAATTCTTCAATATATAACAACCAAGATCTTTTAGAAAGATATATAGAGCACGATGTAGCACGAGTCCCACACACAAGAAGGCTAAGTTGGGCTGCTCATGTGGTCCGAATGGGAGGAAAAGGAATGCCAAGAAAGTTGCCGACAGAACAGTTCTTCCGAAGAAGTCGTAGAGGAAGGTCAAAGACTTGATGGACTGATGGTGTGGTAAGGGACTCTCGAACTATGCTCGGCAATGTGGACTATATTGTAGCCGTATAAGACAGGGATTCCGATTGAGGATGTCCAGGACTCACCGAGTTGTAGTGCCCAACTAATAATTATAATATAATTACTAAGGTTACTACAACCATAAACTTGTAACTTATCTGTATGACATGTTGTATTATATAAAAAAAAAAAAAAAAAATATATATATATATATATATATATATATATATATATATATATATAAAATTACTAATAGAAGTGTTTACATGTTCTAAAAATGAAAAGAGCTAGTAAATCAATAATTAACTAATTTACCCGAATTCCTGTTGATATAAAATCGTCCATTCTTATCGATGATCTTGTCAATTTTGTGTTTTAGGATCTCGATGTCATTTTCTATATCTTTGTTGACTAATTTAGTAGCACTTAGTTGTCCTAAAACATATAAATTAATCAAGATAAATTTACACAATGTCCCGTAAACAAATTGTAATACACATTATATAAGCCAATTAAACGCAATTGACCGAAATAACCGATGTTATAAAAAATATCTTTATTAAAATTTTAATATGAATATTTTGATTTCTCTTACCTTCAAGCTTTAGATTCGTAAAAACATCTATTATGAATAACAAATCTGACTCAAATGAGAACATAAATACTGATAGAGTAGGAGAGACTGGCCTTTCATTTAACGAAAGGACTTGTAGCTAGTAACCATTTTAAATTCTAGATAAACTTCATCTGAACTTTCAACTTCGGTCAGTCGGTTGAAAGCCGTTTATTTCTGTGCGAAAATTTAAATTAAAGAGGGCAAACTTGAAGGTTTTTTAATGAAAGAATATACGGCTGAAATTTTGATATGACGTCAAGAATTGTCTCTAAAGGAGAATTTTCCTTGGCTGACGATGTACTCGGTTAAGTTTTGAAAACTGGCGACGTCAAAGTCATCAAATTTGGCCAGTCGGATGTTAGTTGAATGAGAAAAAAAATTCAAATAGTCGGTTTTTCTTCGATTTTTGTTGTTTTTAGGAATGCTGAATCTGAATTTGATGATCTCAAATAAAATTGTCCATTGCGTTCAGAGATGTGTTTTCCCAAAACTCATAATCTATGCATCTCTTAAAGACAATTATCATAATTTGAAAGAGCGTTAAATTTCCTATGTACCTCGCGTAGGAGCGTTAGTATCCGAGAGGGTGAGACGGTTGTTGAAGCTAATGGAATCGAAGGCGGATTTCACTCATAGTATTTGCCGCTCTGAATTTAAGAGCTTTTCAGCTTTTCAATGGTTTTGATTTATTAATAGTTTTGATAACAGAATTATAATGTATAAACAAATTACATAGCTTTTATATATTCTGTTAGTTAAAAACGTCAAAATTCAAAATAATCAAAAACTTTAGAACCGAAATGAGCTTCAATGACCGAGCTCGCTAATGGCATTTCAACTTTTCGTGCATTAACGATTCCACCTAAACTCAGTAAAATTTTTGATGCATTATCAATTTAATTCAACCTTTAGAGTAGAGTCGATATTTTGCGAGTAGACGAAATGTCGTTTGACTCCTCGGACTTTTACTTTTGGTATAATTGTAATGGATGTAGTAGTTTTTAAATTTTTTTTATAACTACATATCGATACCAGTTTAGGTAAACCCTGATGTATAAGGTCTTACGTACCCTTTGCGAGGATGGCGCCGAAAAGGAAATCGTCCGATGCTTCATTGCCTTCGTTGTAATTCAGGAGCGAGTGGATTGCTCCAAGAATGCTGCCCTCTGCAACAATGGGGACCAAGAACAGAAGGAGGAGGCGCATGTCTGCTAACTGACGCCTGCTTCTCGTTTCCCCCCTTTTAAGCGATGACACCCTACCACACCCACTCAAAGCGTGTCGTATTGGATTTGAATTTTTAATTATATTTCAAAACATTACAAGCCATTATTCACAATTCTTGATGTTTTGAAAAGACCTGTTTCTCCTATGATTGTATTAATTCGATCATTTTATTTTGTGTCATACTTAATTGATTTCATTTTATTTTATATATATATATATACATGTGTATATATATATGTATATATATATATATATATATATATATATATATATATATATATATTAATATTGCCCAAGACTTCCATCGAAGTCCTATACTGCCCCTATTGTTATATTATCAAACAATGAAGGTATGGATGATTTTTGTCTAACTTGATCTAACTTTAGATTCTTCTATAAAATTCCATAACAGCTGAATGATAACCATATCAAGATCTGTCAGTGCTTGTATAAAAACGCTATTTTTTTGGATGAGGGGGTATTTATTCCTGAATTTATCAAATTTGCTGCATTTTAGTATAATGTGCAAAGGGTCTTCTTTGCTTTTTTCTTTTCTTGCTATTTTTCTTTTCTTTTTAACGTAACTCAAGTGTTGGAGACCCATGGGCGTAGAGAGAATGATTTTATTTTTTAATTGGTGTTAACAAAATTTTTTTCCTATTTCTTTATTGAATAACATGACACTTTTTCACAATTAAGGATATTAGCAGTAGAGTTGCCAATTCACACTCCGTGTAATAAATATAAATAAATTAAACGGCAAAATGATAATACCAAAAATAAATTTATGTAAATTATAATACAGGATCTAAATTAATCAAAATAACAACATAAATACAGGTATACTTTTGTTCAATTTTCACAAAATTCATTCAATCAAAAGAGCTAAGGTCCGAGCATTTTCCTCTACTTATGGAAAGAAAAGCAGGACTCTCCAGGAATCACGAGATTCCAACTCCACTCACTCTGCCGCATCACTGGTATTAAGTTCCAGTGAAGGCCGAGCAGATGCACTATAACCACAGACGTAAATGGCTTCAGTAGTGAATATGGCCATTGTATAAGCGCCGATGTATGCTTATTTACTAAAGGTCTCTGGACCATTGACGCTTCAATCTTCGAGTAGGTTTGTAGAGATGGGTGGAACTAGATAGGGATTTTGGAAGGGGATTTGGGTGATATATAATAAGATTGTGTAAGGATATTAAGGTCATAGTTTAGAATTTGGTTGGTTACATATAACAGAGCATCAATTTTTGTTCGAATGACTTTGAACTGAAAGGATTGGATGCGTTTTGTTCATGTTGGAAAATTTTTCTGTTTCCCACAGTTTCAGCCCGTAGGTTCAAATAGGCTTTAGAAGTGTCTTGTAGATCAATAATTTGATGTCAATTGAAAGTAGAGATTTTCTATTCAGTAATCTATATAGCTGATCATATCGCCGGTTGAGTTCTTGACTTTTAAGTCTAGTATTCTTCACACAGAAGAAGCCGGAAAAAAAATTACGATGTTAACATTTGATATCTGAAAAACACAAAAAGCATTAACTTTTTTGTTGATATTGTATTTTGCTGATGTATGGTCATTTGAAAGTACATTAAATTACCTAAAAAATCAACAAAAAAAATCATTAAATCAGACGATTTGGTAAAAAAATAAATTGTTCCAAATATTTATCAAATGTTCTAATACTGATCATTATTTTGCCTTAAAGAAACTGTTATTGTGTATAAGTATGTATGTGTTCTTTTTATTTATTTACTTTTAGGTTATTTTATTCTTATTTATTGTATATATATTATTTTTCTGTATAATTTATTTAATTTATTGTACATAGAGTGTGAATGTGATCTGTGAACACTATTATAAATGTCCTTGAGACAGATTGTAATATTTTTCAATAAATAAGTTTTAAAAAAATAAATAAAATAAACAAAACTGTATGACAGATCTTTGTAATTGCTGGACGGATTTAGATGAAAGTTTTTCTATCGTTTAGGAAATTTCTTCAAAGTATGTTCTGACCCAAAAAAAGAGAAAAAGTGCACCCTTTTTGAGTTATTCGCAAATTTAATTTTAAATTCAACAAAACTCTTTTTCAGGTCCTTTTTCGAGGAAGTATGTTATATACATAAATTTGTAGTATTTCATAGGGAATACTTTAGGAAGGTTTTTATTAATACAGTTACAGTCGTTTTAGTGCTGTAGTCCATAGAGAAACGGGTTTTTCCGCCGCCATCTTGAAACAAAATAGCGACAGGTGATGAGCCCCTTAAAGGCACATCTGCAACACCAACTTAATTTAGATACAAAATTTCAACCTTCCAACTTTGTTAGGAGGGGGCTGTAGAAATGCGCCATACTTTAAAAACAGGGGAAAACGTGAAAAATCGTTCTTGCATGCAGTAATTTTGATGAAACTTTTCCAAAGTTTAATAGTATTGTTCCGCCTGGAAACTCTTTTTACCGATTTTCAGCTTATTCGTTCAAATAGCGGCCGCTGAGGAAGCCGAAACATAGCGGGAAAATATGTATATATATATATAAAACTGAAATCTCTAAAAATTGCAGAACCGTGATCTAGGAGTCCAAATAGTTATGATTGTGTTTAGAAGTTTTTATTTATTTTATTTGTTTATTATTATTATTTTTCTTTCTTTTATTTATCTTCTTCATCAGTATTATTTATTTACTTCTTATATTTATATTATTCTTTATATAGTTATGATTGTGTTAGAAGTTTTATTTTATTTTATTTGTTTATTATTATATTTTTCTTTTTTTTTATTATCTTCTTCATCAGTATTATTTATTTACTTCTATATTTATATTTATTTCTTTATATTTGTATATATTGTATGAATGAGAACTTTAGCCCTAATGCTTATAGCCCTCCAGCAGTGGCTGCATGTATTATTATTCAATAAATAGATTAAAAAAAAAAAAAAAAGGAGTCCAAAGCGAATAAAAACGACTTCCGACTCAGTGCAAATAATCTATTTTTTCCGAAGGAAAATAGACAAAAAAAAGGAAGTCATATATATTAATATCTTGACATTTTATTGCATTTGTTTCGACTTAATCATGTTTTCAATTAGAGAATCTAGAGGTTCATCACAATTTCTGAACCCAATCTCGAAGTAGAGTGCGAAAAACAAATTGAATAAGCTAAAAAAAGAAAAGGGAAATACAAATCTCAATTTAACCTTCCACACCCTATATATTTCCCTCCTGTTTTTTTAATCAAAACTTCATTCGGATAAGCCCGGAGACGGATTGTCCACTTCTGGAAGAAATAAGAGTTGGAAAGCATTACCTTCTTCCTTTATCTTTTCTTAATTGAAAAATATATTATCTTAAGTCTGGAGCTATGAAATCTTTCCTTTGTCAATTTTAAATATTTTCTTTACCTTATATTTTTAATATTTATATTACTTATATATTTACTACCTTATATATTTATACTATGATTAGATAAAATTTCAAAAATTGCATTGCTATTACTATGCCTTTACTACATTTATTCTTTATTATTCTAAAAATGTTTATTAAAAGTATAATATTTATTTATTAATTTCGTAGAATGATTCACTTACTATAAATATCATTTCGCGTAACGTTCTTGCTACGAATTAATTATTAACTAAAAATATATTGGGATAATGATGAAGAACAATCTTTATAACAATTATTAAAAAATAATTCAATGTTTAATATTAATTTAAATTGACATATAATTGAACTATTGACATTCAAATAAAATACTATACATGTATAAAAAATTATGTGATTAAAGAACTAACTGTCAAGAAAAGTGTAAATAAGTAACGGTAATTCAGATGGGAAGGTCATTGATTGTATTGCTCATCTAACAAATCCATGACGTTAAATGTATACACAGAAAAATCGCTCGTACTTATAAAAAAGAGAACTTCAGTAAGCAATTTTTTTCACTGATTTTACGTTTTGATACCTACTACCGACTGAAATAAGTCTCAACCTGTATTTTAATGCAGCTAGTTGTTTATAATTACTTTATGCTTAGATTTTACAGCACAATTATGAAAACCAACAATTATAACAATGAAAACCAAACTAAAACTAAAACAGAAACTGAATACATATACATACTTACATAAGCCCATATGGATATACTCATCACAAATATACGGCATCGCTAAAAAGACTGACCTACAAAAACTTCAAACGTTCCAATCAAAATTATTGCTACTCATAACAAAAGCCCCTTGGTTCGTGACTAACAAAACTCTGCATACTGACCTCCACTTTCCAACAGTTGATCAACATACACTTACCCCTTATCAACGATTTTACACTAATTTAAATGGACATAATAACAAACTAATAAGAGACATGGCCACAGCTGACATACCTCAGAACATGAGGAGGGGACTAAAAAGGCATTGGATGAGGGATCTCTTTCCTTAAACAACTAAGTAATTGAAACAAATTAGGGAAGTACTGCTGAGTACTTTCCTTTATCATGCCTGTCATGTCATTATTTCATGTATCACCATCACATCTGCTGATTGTCAACAATAAGTTGATTGGCGCAAATACATTTTTTATAGACAAAAAAAAAGAAGAACTCTAAGACTGTACCAAATTTAATTTTTTTTTATACTTATTTATTCAAAAGTATTTCAAAGAAAAAATCAGTAATTTTTCTATTCCAAAGAATTAGGTGTTATCCCCGTTTATATCACTTTACAGGATTTATATGCCCAATGTTCTTCCTCTGAAGTATCTTTAATATGGTTTATTATAAATAATTAACTATCTCACATTATTAAAAGTTACGAAAAATGCTAAATGCTTTGAAAGAATTTGATAATTGAATAAAGGGGGAAAAATAAAAATGTTTATCCAATTCGAAAATGAATCAGAGGAAATACTAACCAGAAGTTACACATATAATATATCGTTGGAAATCGAAGAATTTTAGAAAAAAAACAACATCATATTAGATATTTAGATACTTTCTATATTTAGAATGTCGTAGAAGATAACGGAGAGTGGCGAAAAAACTATAAATAATATTTTTTGAAAATGAATTATACTTAACGTAAATCACATGCAATGAAATTTACTAACTAAATATATTATTTTAAAATATTTTTAATTTTAAAAAATGTACGTAATCAATGCATGACATTATTTAAAAAACTATTTCATTGTACTTGTGTGAAAGAAGAAGTGAAATATAAAATCATTTCATGGATATATAAAGCATATGTTTAAGGGAACGCGGTAGCTCAATCACTAGTCATTTTTATTTAGCCGTGAATAGGCCCTGGGGTCGGGAGACCCTCCTGGGGCACACCCTGCCTCTATAAAATGTGTACCCTTAATTTATAAAATAATTAAGGGGGAAACCTGGCGGTTGAGTGTGATATCGGCCGCACAGAACCGTACTTCCTCACAAAGTACCGAAGATCCTTGATGGGTTTTAATGGTACAGGTTTACATACATTTACACATTTACTGTAGTTTGATAATTCCAGATCTGATATTACATTTAAATAATTAGGTATCTATCGTCCGTTTATTCCGAAAAATCATCATGTAACCTTTAAGAAATTTAAATTAGTGAATAATTTGATGAATTTTTCCTTTGTGATATTCCAACATTATCCACTTACAATTAGTGTGACAACTTTTGACCTGTCTACGACAGACAATGTAAATCTCTTAATTCCATTTTAGTAAACTTTGGAATGGAAAACAACAGTTTAATAACTAATAGTCGTACAATCCATAATCAACGGATCGTACAATCCATAATCAACCAGTGATTAATAATTAGGACTATTGCTATTTTAATGGTATTTATGATTGTTAGCTGTAAGCTTTTAGCTTTAGCTCGGTTAAGAATGTAATTCAAAATTTTATAATAGCCCAACATGGCCGGAAAATAATTTCTATTCAAAATTGAACGGCAAGTGAAAGTTGTGTGTTGCGCGCACTAGATTTTTATCATCGAGTTTACGTACCATGGAAAGTAAAACCTCAAATATTGAGAGTGGGATTAGCTCTTTCTTTTTTCTTGGTAAATTGAAAAGTTTCATAATAATAGTATAATAAATTCAGTATAATAAATCAATATCTCGATTCACTACAATTTAAATATATAGATATTACTTATTTAGCATTTACTTACTTACTTATTTAGCACAGAAAAAATTAACACTTATTTTTTATAATACATAACAATAGTAACATGCAAATAAAATTAATAGTTTTTTTTTTTTATGTACGAATAATTTTTGTTCATTATTTTTCGTATTGTTTCATAATTTGGATAAACGACGATTTAAAATATTTTAAGCAGTTTTTGATTCTGGCCTTCATGCTATGTTAAGAAAACATTTTTCCATTACCGATGAAGAATATTAAAGGTCTCATAAAAAAAAAAATCAATTAAGGTATTATTTTTTATATCTCAATAAAATATTTTTAAATGCAACAAGAATTGAAGTAGAACAATCTACGCCAATCATTTTTTTCGTCCTAGCTGTATCAATTAATTATTATGATAACTATAATAAATTATTATCCATAAATAATACTACATCTAGTACTGTGCACAATTACTGTTTTAGTACCTGCACAGTATAAGGCTTATTCAAACGATATCTTATCATATGTTTCATTACCAATATTATTCCACTACTTAAGTCTGTTATAAATATTTGAGGATTAATTAAAATTTCAAAAAAAAAAATCACATTTTTTTAATATTATTTATTTATCGATCTCTGCCACAAATGGATCCAGACAATTATTTTTATTTTTAAATATACATCGCAAATTATTATAACGTTTTAAATGATGAATCGAATTTAAAATTTATCGGTGATTTATCGGCTGCATCCGTGATGGAAGGGTTGTATGTGGGTATCTGCAACGCAGGCGTTCACTCCAAATCCTATTTGAGAACAATGTCCATTGAGTTGTTTTACCTGTAAAATTAATTCGATTAAAAATTTTATATTAAAATAAAATTTAAACTAAGAAATGGTCATTATTTCAAAATATCAAGTATTAATCTTCTCTAATAGCACTAAATAATTAACCAATCAACGCTCTACCAATTCTCATATTTTTCCACTTTATGTTGGCCAGAAAAATATAATATCACACATTTGAAATATATATATACATAAATATATATATATATATATATATATATATATATATATTTCTTTTTTTTTTTTTATCGGTTGGCTCTACAGACATTGTAGATCTTTGGCCGCCTGAACCAGCCTTCCCCACCTCTGCCTATTTTGGGACTTTTGCTTTCAGTTTGCTGCGTGAAGCTCAGCCGTATCTTTGTTTATCCTATCTATCCATCTGGTTTTTGGCCTCCCACGTGGTCTCTTGCCTACTACTCTGGCATTCAATGTCGTGTAGAGGCGTCCTGATGGATTACTAAGAGCTACATGCCCTGCCCATCTTAACCTCCTTGCCTTCATGTCATGAGATATTGACTGACCCATTTCTTTCAACAGTTCTTTATTTTTCTTTCTCCTCCATGTGTCAAGGTTCTGGTCCCATATAGGTCCTGTTATCCTGGGTAGAACTTTTCTTTCAAATCTTTCAATGTGCCGGTTAGAGGTTTCACAACCGTACAGCAGATCTGGCTTAATCACGGCGTTGTACACCCTTATTATGAGATTTATGGAGATCTTTATGGATTTCAGCACGGTTGAAAGAGAGAAGAAAGATCTGTTCGCACTTGTTATTCGCTGGTCTATCTCTGTTAGTTGATCATTTATTGAGGTTATTGTGGAGCCGACGTATTTGAATCTGTCTACTTTCGAGAATGACTTAGAATCCACGTAGATCATGTTATTAGGGTGGATGTTTCGGCTAACTATCATGAATTTTGTTTTATCTACATTGACCTGTAGTCCGATTTGCTCTGCTTCTTTTAATAGTGTCCGAGCGAATCTCTCAATATCCTCTTGATTACTTCCAAGAACAGCTATATCATCGGCATATGCTAGGATTTTATGTTTCATCCCAACGTGCACCCCTCCATCTTCCGGTATCTGTTCCTTCTCCCATATCTTCTGGATCAGACCTAATAGCTGGCTCTGAGTTCTTCTTCCCCATCCTTGAACAATTCTGATGGTAGGTTGTCTATTCCTGGAGCTTTTCTTCTTTTAAGCCTGTCGATAGCTATTTCCACATCCAGAATATCTGGTTTTTCAACCTCAAGTGGGTCGATGTCCTAAGTGTAGTCCATGTCTTCTTCGTTTGTGGTGTACTCTTGGTTAAGCAGCTGCTGGAAGTGTTCCTTTCAGATGCTTAGGATCTTTTCTTTTGATGCCGTCAATTTGCCACCTTTCCCTCGCATTTGTGTATTTCTCGCTTTCTATCCTACCCTTTCTTTCCTGATATCTGCGAAGAATTCGCATATATTTCCAGCCTGCCAGTTTTCCTCAATAGTTTGTAATCTTTCTTTGTGGAATTCTCTTTTGGCTGTTCTTATTATTTTGTTTGTCTTTTTTCTGGTGGCTGTGTATTTTTCCAGCATAGCTTGATCAGTTTGTAAGCAGAGGACTTTTCTTCTTTCCTCCACTGCCTTTTCGCATGCTTCTGTGAACCATTTCTTTTTTCCTGAATCTCTATTACTTCTTTAGCTGTTTGTTTTAGCCCTTCTAGTGCTTTCCAGTGTTGGTCAACCGTGAGACCTTCTGAGTTCGAGGGTTCGAATTTATTTTTCAGCTCAATTTGAAATTCAGCTTGTACTATAGGGTTTTTCAAAATATGGACTTCGTACCTCTGTCTTTCCAATTGGTTCCCAATTCGGTGGATTCGCTTCAGCCTCTTACAGAGTTACAGATTCTAATCAGAGTATGGTCCGAATCACAGTCTGCTCCACGATAACTTCTTATGTCTTGTATGGAGCTTTGATGCCTCTTGTCTATCATCACATGGTCGATTTGGCTTTTTGCTCATTTAGGACTTGCCCAGGTATACTTATGTATGTCCTTGTGCAGGAACATCGTACTGCTTACTGCTAGACCTTTAGCTGCTGCCAGACTAATGCATCTAACTCCATTGTCATTGCTAGTTTCGTGGAAACTTTGGCCTCCGATGATGGGCTTAAATTGGGTTTCTCGACCTATCTTGTCATTGAAGTCTCCCATGACTAATTTTATGTCATGTTTTGGAGCCTGGTCCACAACTTTTTCTAACTGATCGTCCTAAGAAATCGTCCTTCACCTCATTCTCTTTTTCTTCGGTTGGTGCATACACGTTAATCATCGTGATAATAAACCAACGATCTCTTACGCACAGCACACTTATCCTTTCATTAACTGGGGCGAAGTTTATTACTGACTTCCTTGCGGATTAACTATAAATCCAATGCCAGCTGTCCCAGTTTTGTCGTTTCCCCCGGTGTAGAACAGTGTTTAGCCGTCTATAAAGGTTTCCCCACCACCTGGCCACCTTACCACTTGAATGGCTGTTAACGGTATGTTGTACCGTTTTACTTCATTAACTACCGTTTGGGCGGCTCCTGGTCTATATAAGCTCCGAACATTCCATGATCCGATATGGAGCCCGTTATACAAAGCCGGAGTCATTACCGTGTTAAGACAATCAGATTTTCCGAGGCTAGTTTTAGGTTTCTTAATACGTTGTTTTTGACGGGATAGGGTTATAAACCCTATGTCCAACCGCCAACCTGAAGGACCAAGAGCTATGTCTACCACAGGGTCACTCACCTCCCTGCCTCCAGTAGGCTGACGGGTCTCACATACCCGAGGGGAGGAATCTCGGGCAGCATGTCTTTCCGTGGCGGGCGGTCACCCAAATCGGACGGTCACCCATCCAAGTACTGACCACGCTCGACGTTGCTTAACTTTGATTACCTATTGCAAGCGCCTTAGCACGTACGGCTACCCCGACCCTCCCTCCCCCCTCCTCCCCTCATATATATATATATATATATATATATATATATATATATATATATATTATTACCAGTCTTTGAGAGGCTTATTTTAAAATCTTCTATGATATCCTAACAATAATTGTGACTCATTTATTGCTATCCTTAATTAAACTAAGTCTTTATTTCATGTCATTGGTTGTTATCGATGGGTGAATAACATATATAGCTGGGATATTACAACTTTTTTCTTGAAAATTTGCTAACCGGAAATGCTGCTTTATATTATCTATTTTACGCATTTTCATAATTTTCACAATTTTCTCGAAAGATTCGAACTCGGTATATAACTTTACATTTAGATGGGTTTTAATATCAGCTAGTTCTTATTTTCATTGATGTAGGTTTGAATGGTTATTGTTTGATTTTTGATTTTTTTCCCTCTAAACTACCTTTAATTTGGTTTATTTTAAATAATTAATTAATCTCATTGTCAGTAATAATAAAAAATGGCTGAATATAAACTATGAAAGAATTTAATAATTGACTGAACGAGGAGAAGAAGAATAATGTTTATATATATCGTTGAAATGCTGAGGATTTTAGAAAAAGTCATAGAAGATAACAGAGAGAAACTTAAATAATTTCTGAAGACTAGTATTATATAATGCAAACCACACGTTTCCAAGAAAATTAAGTGAAATTTTCTAATTAAATGTAATTTTTTAAATTATCTTAGCCATTATTCATAATTCTTGATGTTTTGAAAAGACCTGTTTCTCCTATGATTGTATTAATTCGATCATTTTATTTTGTGTCATACTTAATTGATTTCATTTTTTTTTATATATATATATTAATTATAATATATATATATATATATATATATATATATATATATAAGTATTCCACCGAATCAAGCCAATGACATTGTTAAAAAAAATTATTTTATTGTAGTTGCGTGAAGCAAGAAATGGAGCATACAAATATTTCATGAATGATTAAAACATGAGTTCATAACCTTAACTACATTCACTGTAGTTTAATGACTATAGATAATTTTACACGCGAAAATATGAATTTAATAACATGTACAATATTATTCAAATTTAGTTCCTATAATTTTTACTATGTTGTACAATCCTTACTGATTTATAGATTAAATATATAGATGTGTTTTTGTATATACATAGAGCTCAGAGGCTGGAGTTGTGTGGTTCAATAAGACATATGGAGTTATTTGTGTTATTTTAATTTTGTTAATGAGATTTTACACTTTATGATTAAGCTCCGGTAATAATGAGCATCAAAAACTTTGTAATGGCCAATCTTTGCCATAAAATGTTTCTATCCAAAACAGAGCGGTAAGTGAAAGTAGTGTGAGATTTTTTTTACACGTACACTGTTTATGATGGTGAAGATTTTGTTGACTACAGATGACATGGTTGGGAAGTTAGTCGGAGATACAGTCTTTGAGAAATGCAAACACAAATCAATTTATTTTATTCTGTGCTGAGTTTTCGGCACAAGTTTTAGGACTTCATTAGCGGTCCTACACCTTCAGAGTGTCTAAACAGCGTCAGAGTGACAATGTGTTTACATTTGGTAGTAGCCCTGGAGTCAGGGTCTAAAAATCGACCTGATTTTAGACTAAGGTTTGATTGTAAATTACGAAAGTGTATGTTATTCTGAGTAAAAAGAACCTTGTCTGCTATTCCAGGGTCGCTAGTTTAAAAAATGGCGGCTGATTTTATGAATATTAGGCCAGTAACTTAAGGATCAAAACAGAAGATCTATTGAGAAAAATGAGAGAAAGTTTTAATTTTTTTAACTCGTATATATGGGTTTAGACATGTAAAAAACAATTGCTAATGGTGGCTACCAAAGGAAGACTTTTTACAGCCAAAAAGTCAGATTGTTTCGATATTATTTTGTTTTTTCACCTGTAAATTCTAAACGATGCATCAAAGTGATAAATGTATTCTTTAAGAAATTAAGGAACGTGAAATTGTGATTGGAACGAGTACATAAACATAATAATTTGGTGACGTGATAAGGTATAAAACCACGGTCAATTAACGCTGGATTTTACCAAATTTGTCAACAACTGAGACAAATTACTATAAATGGCTCTGTCATTTGGAAATGAGTTCTCTAAGAGGAAAAACCCATAGAATCAAAGTTGTAGAGCATCAAATTTTGTGCCCACTGAGTACTGACATTTTTAATGTAGGCAAATTAGATATCTCAAATCGGGATTCGTTTTTTTATTGTTTTTTTTTTTTTTTTATGAAATTCGGTATCTTTCGACACATTATATAACAAAACCCTTCGCTGTTGAGAGGTGAAAAAGAGGCTTATACTGTATGTAACAGACTGTAAACAAAAAAAACTCAATAGAATAAACATCCATTCTGTTGAAATATTAAAAATCACGTATACCTTTATTACCAATTTCTAACCATCGGGGATTACCGATTTTTTTTTTTTTTTGGGAATAAGTGCCCTACATTAAAATGGTTGGTACTCAGTGGATCCGAAATTGTATGCTCTACAACTTTGACTCTATAGGTTTTCCCTCTTATGGAATTTATTTCCTAGCTATAGGGCCATTTATATTAATTTGACTCGGTAGATCGTGGTTTTCTATCGTCCCACTTAACTAAATTATTAGGTTTAGGTATTCCTTCGAGTCGAAATTTAACGATCTTTGATTTATTAAAGAATGCATTTTTCACTTTGGTGCATCGTTTAGGAGTTATAGATGAAAAAACAAAAAAATATCGAAAAAGTTTTAGTTTTTTGGCTGTTAAAAATTTTCTCTTGGTGGCTCGCGTTAGCAATATCGTTTTTTCACATGTCTAAACCCATGTGAATATATAAGTTAAAAAAAATAAAAACTTGTCTCAATAGATTTTCGGTTTTGATTCAGAAGTTACTGGCTTAAATTCTGTAAATCAGCAGCCATTTTTGAAAGCAGCGGCGCTGCAATGGCAGACAAGCTTAATTTTACTTAGAATAACATACACTTTAATAATTTACATACAAACCTTCGCCTGCGACCTGGTCGATTTTTTGGCCCTAGCTCCATATCTATAGGTGTAGGAGTCCTGATGAAGGCCTGAAGCTTAAGCCAAAACAGTGAGGCTGATTGCGAATCCAGCGGGATAAAAGTCTACAATAAAATATTTCATCTCATCCATACTAATCTGATATTGTTATAAGAAGTCACTTAATGGTTTCTGAAATATTTTTTTACTTATAGCCGGTATGTCTTTTATATTCATGAAAATTATAGAATCTAAATGTAACATTTCTATAATAAAATATCACTTAGATTGAGATCATCGATTCATTTATCATTGTCTGGTATTAAATATACAGATTCATATACAGCATTACAAGCAAATTCAGAACACTCAACGCCCTACGTTTAACTTTGCCTATGGAAACGAATGCATGTTTTTTTTCAGATAATAATAATTTTTTTCTTTATTTCTAATAAATTAGATTATAAATAACGACGAAATTATTAATGTTTCATTATATCGGGGCATATGAATAACTTTGTACAGTCAGAGAGACAAGGGTTTAATGTTTTATGTCATCCATGCATTAAAAACAAAAAAGGAGATAGATAACAGCAATACGATATTTCACTGTTAGCAAAAAATCTGAATTTATGTTTACTATATAATCTTATCAGTGCCTGATTGCTAAGAATCTATCTGTTATTAATGATCAAATAAGCTATGTCTTGCAGTATTTTATTTTCTCTAAAAACAACGGTTAATTGTCTTAAAATCGAATTTTTAATTTGCATACTCAGTAAAGTAATTTTTTTCTTCTTAGAGTAGTCGTTAAAAAGGTCATTTCCTCTCTCAAGGCCTCAGCTAATTCTTTTTTACCGAAAACAAGAGTTTTCCACTTATAACACAATTATTATAGCTGATTTTAATGGGTAAGAACGGGCAATCGTTTCATTCCTGGCTAATGCAAAATACTGCTGGACACAAAGAATCAATATTTAAATCGCACAATCATGTGGGTAAAAAATCCCAGACTGAAACGTGGAACGGTTTTCTAACGGGTATCTAGGTAAATGTTGCTGATTGAATTAAATTATAAATGTCTAAAATGGTCTAAAATAGAGGGGAAAATTCTTCATTAAACAACTTCTTTATCGTTAAATAGTAAAAAAAAACTAAAAAACAACAACATTCATGTGCTTTTCATTGCACCAGAGACAGAACGAACTAACTTGTTGTTGAAAAATGAACTAACCCTAAGCCAACGTATGAGATGCTTCATCGGTATTGCCCTGAAATTATTCAAGTTTTTTTTTTTTGTTAGTTTACATTTTATCTAATGGTACAAACACGTTTCTCAGCAAAATCTCGAACTTCATTTTTGGACTTTTGTCCGGCTAAATTTGCAATCGGCCACTCTGAGCATGGGTACAAAATATTTCATCGATATAGTGTAAAGTCGGTATAGTCACTTTGTTTCACGTCTCCCCCTGCTATATTAAAATACCTGGGTGACTCACTGATCAACCTAATGATTCTTTTCGGGCCTTCATTTTGATTCTAAATTACTCAACCGACTCTTTGGAACAATTTTAGCTCTTAGTGCCTCCCATATTTAGTTTCTTCAGAAACTAAGTTGTTTTTATTTATCGCTTTTTTATTGAGAAATACTTTTCACATCTAAGGACGATAGTAATAGTGATAAAGAATAGCTCATTAACACTCTGTGTACAATAAATAAACTGAAAAATAATAAAGGAAATGTTTATAAAATGAAAGAAACTAAATCAAACAAAAAGAAACTAAACTAATCAATATAACTACTTAAATACACGCATGCTTTTATTTTTAATGCTTTTACAAAATTGATTCGCTCAAGATCTCCGAGCCAAGGCTTTCCCCTCCCTTATGGAAGGAAAGGCAGGACTTTAGGAGATCCCAGCGCCTCTCACTCAGCCGCATTACTGGTATTAAGGACCAGTGGAGTCTGAGCAGAGGCGCCATAATGAGTAGAACTGAGTTAAGTTTATGAATTTTAAAAGCTTTTTTTTTTTTTAATTTGCTCTGCAGTCCTTAATGGACTTCGGCGTCTGAAACAACATTCCGCCAGGCTTCCCTATCGGCAGCTATTCTTCTCCATCTTCTGATACCCATGCGGCTGAGGTCCTCCTCCACGTCGTTGATCCACCTCAGCCAGGGTCTTCCCCTAAGATGTGCTCCTCCTGGGCGGTTATATAGAAGTTTTCTAGGCAACCTATTCTCTTCCATTCTCTCTACATGGACTAGCCATCTGAGCCGGCTCCTTTTGACAGTGGCTACAATATCATCATTTTTAAACAGCTCATAGAGCTCGTCATTTTTCCGTATTCGCCATTGGTCATTTATTTTCTTCGGACCGTATATTTTCCTAAGGACTTTTCTCTCCCGGATTATCAGTAACCTCTCACTTTCCTGTGTCAGAACCCATGTTTCATACCCGTAGGTAACGACTGGCCTTATAATGGTTTTATAAATGGTTACTTTTGTATTCCAGCTCAGTTCCTTGGATTTAAATATTTTTGCCAGGGCAAAAAAACACTTATTGCCACCTGTAATTCTGGCCTTTATTTCGGCCTGCATTTTGTTCTGGGTTAGTGACTATTACTCCGAGGTATTTCAAAAGCTATTATTTAGTAGTGTAATGTGCATTTAAAATTGTATCCGTAGTAATTTTAAGCAATTAAATAACATTGAATTACTGCAAATATAAACTCTATGCAATTTATAATAAATTATAAATCATTTCATTAATAAATTATTTATTAATTAATTTATACTTACTATTTTTACTTCCATTTGACATGATTTATCACCCACTGGTAAAGGATTTGCTATAAACCGTACAACTGAGCCATCCGACTGAAGAACATATAGAATAAATTTAGACAAAATATTAAATTTTAAAGCAAAAATATACCTTTTCATTATCTTTTTTTTTTTTACCTCCTTTGAATTTTCCACTTTTTCCATAAGAAAATCAGGGAAGTCGCTTGTTGCTGCGATGACGCCACACAAAATCAAGCTGGCAGAGATATATATAAACCTGAAAAATGAATTAAATGGAACATTTTTCATTTTAAAATAGTTAGCACTTTAAATCCATGAAAAGCATAACCGCCTTTGATTTAATTGTTCAAATGAAGATATTTTAATTTCAAACATATTTTCATGGCCATGTTATAAATTCATCTTTAAATGATTTAAAATCCTATATTCTCCTTGACATACCATTTTACTTTTACTTACATGTCTACAATCTTGTAGGCTAGTTCGGGATAAGTGATCTAGATTTTGATCTGGTCGCTTAAATACTTCCCCCGAGAAACCCCTTAAAGATAGATCGGAAATTAGCAAAACTAGTCTAAGCCAATTAAAGAAAGGCTAATTGATTTTCTTTTAGAATTAGTCATTGGGCCTCCAACGCGTTGACGACATGTGATATTTTTATCTTTCAAATAATAAAATATTTTTTTACATTCCTTGTCAATGTTTAAATAAAAAAAAAAAACCATAGATAAGAAAAAGGATGAATTTATTATTAGGTTATTATTAAACCTTGAAGATTTACTTAGGAATCCTAAAAATATGAAAATGAAAAACATCTTTACTGCTTTAACAAATAAATAAATCTCAAATTAAGAGTGTACAATGCTATGATTAAGTTAGTTCTGATTTACTGGCTGCGAGACCTGGTCACCAACCCATTGTGTGTCTGACAAAAAATTATTAAAAGATTTCAGAGAAATATCCTCCATGGAATAAACAGACTGACCTGAGATCAGAGTACTAATGCCTGGAAATGAAGGGACTATAAAGAACTACTAACAGAGTGTGTACTAATGACCGACACAAAAGAAGGAAGATAAAGCAACTGCGAAAATCAGCTAAAACTGAAGAACTTATATTTGCCACTCATATCAAAATCTGGCAAAGCAGATGCCTCAAAAATTGTAATAGATGTCTTTGATTTTGTCCCAAAAGAGCAACAAGAAATAGATCTTATGTAGAAAGTTCGAACCCCTTTCTATATCTTTCACATTGTTAGTTATTGGCTGCCATGGATACTACATATAGTTTTCCTGTATTTTTACTATTCAGTATCAATTTTCTATAGAAATAGAATAACTCAATTTTTTAAATGTTTATCATATGATTAAGCTAAATATTTACTAAAAAGTTAATTTTTACAACCAAACATAAAGTTACTAAGAAGGCAGACCGACTAATAATAAATGTTTTTCATCAATTGCTAATTTTTTTGTATTGGAAATCATTCCTTTTTGTCAGTAGACTCCTCAAATAACAAAAATATACATTATATTACTGTACAACAAATAATAAGATTGTTCACTATAAATTAGGAACATAACTTTTTTTCTATTAGATGTTTTAATAACTTTATAAAACGCCTTCATAACTAGAATGCATGGACTTCTTTCTGGATAGAACCATCCATCTCTACTAATAAATAAACTAGAAGAGTTTGTTAGTTTGAACCCACCAATTTTAAGAACTACCAGTCTGATTCGAAAAACCTTCGTTATTTGCTTTGCTTCGATCTTTTATTGAGGAAAGCTCGGGCTTTTAATATCATGTTATGTCCTATAGAAACCAAGCAGTAATCATAAACATCAACCATCCTTGAAAGCTGCAATCAATTAGATATAGGACAGCTTCACATAAACATTGTTAGCAATCATTGTAAATAAAACAGCGACAAACTTTTGAGCAAATCGGAGTTGATGTAAAAGAGGAAATTTTCCCCACGGACTACTCTCTGTTGCCTTATTTAGACCAGATAGCAAAGAAAACAATTGATTTTAATGAAACTTACAAACATAAGTAAATGATCTGAATGTTCAAGCCGGTGATGTGAGCCGCAATCTTAGAGTCTGTAAAACTTTTTCTACTAGTGTTCCCATTGTTTTATTGATAGATTTTCGTCGACAAGCATAGAAAGGGGTTCGAACTTTCTACATAAGATCTTCTATTTCTTTTTACCCTTTTAGGAAAAAATCAAAGACATCTATTACAATTTTTGAGGCATCTGCTTTGCCAGATTTTGATATGAGTGGCAAATATAAGTTCTTCAGTATTAGCTGATATTCGCAGTTTCTTAATCTTCCTTCTTTTGTATCGGTCATTAGAGTACACACTCTGTTATACACACAGACACACGGACACAGACACAGACCATTAAAGGATTCTGCTAACTCTAAAAGTATTAGCTACGAAAATTATGCTAACTTGAAACATAAATAATTTTTCATAAGAAAATCCCCACTTAAGAGTACTAATGGATTTTAAAGCTTTGGGACTGATGGAAATTTATTGATATTTACTGAGGGGAGGGTTGGTGTGGCGGTCATAAAAAAACTTTTAAAACAGTGAAAATTATTTTATTAAGGTCATAATTTTAATTCATTTAAGCCACTATTTTATGTTTTTTTATTACTGCCACTCAGAACCACCTCTTTCCTCATTATTATAATACGGTCAACTATTGACTAGGACTCTTTTGAATTTTATTTAAAAATCTGGATTCCCTCGCTTATAACTTATTGTAAATATTTGAGAATCCTAGCAACAGTTCACCACAGAGCTCTTAGCATTTACCCAGTAATTTAAAATTGATTTCGAAAGTATTATTTGAATCATAAATGGGCATCATCATAATCAACGATTACGATTACGTTATAATAAAAAAATGAACACAGTTATTTGATTACACGATTGTAATCGTAATCGCGGTTTTTGATTTGGATTATAATCGCGTAATCATGTGATCATAGTAATGTAATTATAATCATTGTAATCAAAATTACTGTAATCATGATCATAATCGCGTAATCGTAATTAAAAAATCAAATACACACGGTTTTCTTTTTTTAGGGCGAGACTAAAAGGAAAACGAGTATACAACATTTTCTATATTCTTATAGCTCTCGGGAGCACTTTCTATGATATAAACATTTAAAAATTTTCGAATTTTCATTCACTTCTCCTCTTTTATCTGCTGAACGAATACTCGTTTTGCCACCGCTGCAACAGTTTTCCGATTGTGTAGATGTGAGCGACAATGGAGAATTGGTGTAGAAAATTTTCCGAATTACCATTCTCTTTTCGTCTTTTATCTCGTGGAGTAATGTTCGGTTTTTCACCGTTCCAAGAATTTTATAACTGTTTAGAGGCAGGCCAATGTAAACAAGATTGCTACAACTTTTCCGAATTTTCATACGCTTTTCCTCTTTTAACTCGGTTTTTCACCGTTCCAACAATTTTATTCCTCTCCCTAAAAAGAGGAAAGTTTATGTATTTGATATTTTTCATTACGATTACGTGATAACGATTACAGTGATTTTGATTACGTGATTACGATTACAGTGAATTCGATTACATGATTACGATTACAGTGATTTTGATTACGTGATTTCAAGATTGTAATCGTAATCAGGTAGTCGTTTCATACTTTAGCTTTATTGTGCTATTGTATCATGTATAAAATTGGCGTTGTCATTAAATTTTATTTTCAGTTGTGATCACGTAATCAATCATTTATTACGATTTCGCCCATAAATTTGAATCAACCCAAAATTAAAATTCTTCGTCATTCTCGCTTTCAATGCCCAGCTAAATATAAATCAATGAAAGTTACTTCATTGAAAAAAGGAGCATATTTTGGACAGGTGGAAACTTATTTGGTTATTTTTCCACATAGTTATCGGTCTATAGTTTTCATTTTATCTTACCTAGTTTGTTTTCGATTTAAATTAAGAGGATATAGTCGAATTTACAGAAGAAAAAACAACGATGACAAAGGGAAAATAGCTGAAACCATTAATTCTATTAAACAACAAGATTTGGGGAATCTCAATCCTACTTCTATGTAAGGTGCAGGTTATACTTATAACCTATCCTGCATTATTAGTTGTAAACGGGATTAGGTTCTTGACAGTTATTTAAATTTTTTTAGCCCCTGTGAATTTTTAATTTATTCTTTGCACAACTGTCGAACCTCCTAGAAAACTGTCACAATTAAGTACAGTAAGTTTTTTGGTAAACCATTCTGTCCAGTTATCTTATATATTCATCCAGCCATTGACAGTTATAACTGTTTTTGCACCCCTAGAGATAATTCTTAAAATAACAATTTTGTTTGAGAATAAATATTAGTCACTATTATATTTATTATGTGGTTTCACGTATTGGCATTTTTCAGTTGCAACTTGTGATTAGATATTTTTGGGAGATATTGACTTTCTTTCCTATTTACAGATCAACTAACTACCTAAAATCAGACTTATGAATCATCATAAACTACCTTGGCGTAGTATCATATTATACAATGTGTTATTTTCTTTAACTGTGAATAATTTTCTGTTAATTGTTTGTGTGGTTATCTTTACTTACAAAAATTAGAAAAAAAGGTATATTTGGATTCAGAAATGTTAGTCCTTGATAAATTACTGCAGTTTTTATACCCTTACTCAATAATTTTTGGGCACCCTACTCAAGATTGGAACCTAATAAAAGGTTCTTAAAGTTTCATTGTTACCTGAATTATCTTCTTTATAATTTCTTCTCCAAATATGCCTAGATTAACTTTGATTTCAGTAAATATTGATAAATGAGTTTATTTACTATTTTCTTGTTTGCTACCAAACATGGACACAACTTCTACTAAAAGTGATATTTTGATATAAATGTTGATAATACTCCACTTCTATTTTTTTTTATTTTGTTCTTTTTTGGCTTTAAGACTTGTAAAATCAAGTCCTATTTTGCACCATTTTTATTATAAATATGTTTTCTTCATCGTTGAATGAATAAAATGATTGTTCCTCTCATGCCGAAATGGGTGACAAATTATTTTTCACTGTCTATTTTAAAACAAAATTGGATGTGGAAATATCTAACAGTTTTAACATTCTTCTCAAAATTTTATTAACAGATCCAGTATCACTATTAGTAAATTTTACATCTTATTGCACTCTGATATATTTTTATGAAAGTGTGTGAATTGGCGCCTCAGCATGAATCTGTAATGTACTTGTATACAATATAAACAAGTTAATATTGTTGAGGATCCTAATATAAAATGAATTCCAGAAAGGGTTTTAGTGATTAAGTATAAATACAAAAGAGTTTCATGAAATTTTTCAAATAGTAATTGATTTTAATTAACTTTTCAACCTTTACATTGACTTTTTCTATATAGATGCTTGAAATCCTGGGCGCAGGCTCAGGTGAAAGAGGCCTGAACAGAGTAAAA